AACCAAGATGCATCATGTAAAGGTACAATTCCCAATGAGAAATGTAATTGTGTTGTATACCTACAATGTACCAATAAAAGAATTTAACAACAACAAAAATAAAGAACAATGAAGGGGAAAACATTAAAATAAGAGAAAAAAAAAACCCCACTTAGTCTAGTTTATATACCATACCCCCCCCCCAATACAGTAAAAACAAAAATAAAAACAAACACTTCTCTGGTTTTCCCATTCTCTGCTCTAAATCTAGGTTTTGTTCTGCTCTCTGAGTGGGCAAGTTTCCTGGGCATTCTGTTCCACCTCCTCTATTCCCTTCTTCCTGTGCCCCAGGGGTCAGGGATCCTCAATCCTGAGGCTCAGCCGGTAAAGTATAAACATGGTAGCTTTAGAGCTGGTAGAAGCTGCTATCTGCCTGTCTTGTCCAACCCAACCATGTCTGTGAGCGAGCCCAGGTCCATTGTGACTATTGCAGGGTGCCCCATAGAGATAGGACTTGGAGTATATTGGGCTGAACGGGATTTTCCCTTCCCACAGAGCACCAAGCAGGGGAGGTGATGGGAGGTGAGAGAGCCATGCTGCTGAATTCTGTTCTGCATGCCCCCTTTATGTTAAATGGGGTGTTTGGGGTGTGGGTCAGCCTCTGCTTGGGGTTGGTTATTAGACACACCTGGAGGAGAAGCAGTTGTCCCATTCAATTATTTCAGCAAACAACTACTGTAAATAACTTCTGTTTTCTCTTTTGTCAATTAAAGTTGTTTTATTTTTATTTTAAAAAGATATTAAGAAAATTATAAAGGCTATGAAAGGGAAATATCCATCAGAATTAGAAAAATTCCGAAAAGAATTGAATGAAAAAAGTCAAGTTTTGACAAGAAGACTGATAGAACTCAACACTGAATTCCAAGTTAAAAAAATAGCAGGTCAGAAATGAACACTCAGCTAGAAGGGATGTGATATGATTCAAATACCATAGCTAGAAGATAAATAGATGGAAAGAAGGAAAAACTTTTAAATCAAATATAATTTGAGATTAAAAGGATTCAGAAGAAATAGAAAATAGAGAAAGAAGATGTAACATGCATATATGTTAATGAGAGGCCTCAAAAAAGAAAACCAAAGTAACCAATTAGAAAAAAAATTAAACATACTCATTAAAGGTAACATAAAACTATACATTGAAACTTGAAACCACATAATGAAGAAGCAGATCACATTCCTGAGAAAATTTTTGCAGAATAGCCATTATCAAGATATATTCTAAAAACATTTGCATTTAAAAAGAAAATATTCTTTTGGCATGCAAGTAAAAGATCTAAAAGCTTATAAGAGAAAGAATATTAGATTTTGATCAGAATTTTCCATGACAACATTTTATGCTAGTAAATAAATAACAAATTTAAAATATTCACAGAAATAAATTACAGAGCGTGCCTTCCATGAATTTTGATTTCATCTAATCTGACCTGCTAGTGAAAGGTTACCCAGACTTTTCTACTTTTCTGCTTCCTTGATTTAACCCTACTATTCTTTGCTCCTGGCTTCTGAGAATCTGCATTGGCCAAGTGTAGTTCTCTCATGAACTCTGGAAGTCTTGAGCACAAATCTCAAACTAGAACTATAAAACCTTAAAATTTATGAAGTGAAAAGAACCTTATCCCCACCCGGGGCCAAAAATATAACCACATCCACAAGAACTCAGGGAATACTGTCCATTCTCTAGTACCTTTCCAGAGGGATCTACAGGAGAGCAAGTTCCAGACACCAAATACTATACAGACATTGACCAAAGGCCTGGAGAAGTATTAGTCTAGTTAATAAATGAAGAAGAGTGGTCAACTCAGAATATCACTATTTGCACATTGCAGTGTCACCAATGGAGGATAACATCATAAGAGAGAATAACAGAACATGGTGTGCCTCCTGATAAAAGCATACATCATCACTTGCCTACAATGATCAAACTTAAATCTCACTGATATTCTATTGGTAAGTATTTGAAGAAAACACAATGGACAGATTTTTAATCACATCATATAAATAACATCATCAAATCAAGACAAAGAAAAAGATGCAAAAATATTTTCTAAGATGAAAGGAGAATCTACAGTAGAAAAGAGATATAAGATATACATCAAACAATCATGTGAAGACCTTGTTTGGATTGCATTTCAAGAAAACTATTAAAAAATTATGATATAATGATTGTCATTGTTTATAGGTGTGATAATGGTATTGCTTTTTAAAAATGGTATTGGTTTTAAAATTATTTTTGTAGATGTCATAACGGTAGTGGTCTTTAAATTATTTTAATAACAGATTTACAAATGAAATAATGTGATCCCTAGGGTTTACTTTAAAATAATCTGGTAGCAAGAAGTAAGTGCAAGTATATTTGAAGAAACAATTAGCACTATATTGATAATTACCTTATTTGAGTGAAAAGTGTAGCAGATTCATTAACCTATTTGTTTCTCCTTTTGTATGTTTGAAAATTTCAATAATAAAAGTTTTTTAAGATATAAAGAAGGCCTACAAGCACATACATATTAATACTTGAGACTAGAAGAAGCCTACCTCATGATTACTGTGGGGCATGTAGAAGATCTGACAAGAAAGGATGTATATACATTTTTTTGGGGGGGGAGGCGGGGTACCAGGGATTGAACTCTTGTCCTTGCGCTTGTGCAGCAGGCGGCGAAACCACTGAGCTAAATCCCTGTCCCTAGATTTTTAAAGTAGCCTTTCTACCCTTCTACATCTGGATGCCCATCAAATTAAATCCCACATTTCTTCATATCCCAATTTGATGGAACACCTTAAAGGAGAACTAAATTGCAGTGATGTCTCAGAGTGAACATTTAAGAATAAGGGTACTCATAAAGCAATTAACTTTGAGCTTTAAACTGTAAGTCACCAAGTTAATTGCCTCACATGTGTGCTTGCATATGATGGCTTGCAAAAAACAAAACCAAGCCGGAAGTTTGAATGATAGGTTAGCACTCATCTCCTTCTTATTCTCTTATGTTTTCTTTCTAGATATTTCCACACAATATACTTAGGCATTCGGAGCCGGCAGAGTGGGGAAAATGACAGATGGAGGTTTTACTGGAAAATGGTGTATGAGTATGCCGATGTGAGTATGCTGCATTTGCTAGCCACCTTTCTGGAAAGTGCTCCTCAGCTCGTCCTGCAGCTCTGCATTATTGTACAGACTCATAGCTTACAGGCCCTCCAAGGTAAGGGCTTGCAATTTGTTTCTGGATTTGGGGAAAGACTGACTGGCTGCCTTTGTCAGAATCCACAAGATTGTCTTAATGCTCTTTGTTGAAACAGGACTATTGTATGCCTGCTGATTTATTTATACATGATTTGTGAAATATGTATGACACCCCATCACTTGTGATAGGAAAGAGAAAACCCCTTCTCTTTTGCCCTACTACTGCCCTCTTAGTAGGAAGAAAAATAAAAACATGCATTATGATTTTACACTTGGTCAATATGGAGATCAAAGCAAGGCCTTTTGGTTTTTATGATAGAATAACTTTCAAAAATTATAGAGAGCAGTAGCTATCATTCTCTAATATATATGGACAATTCTTACCATTTTTTTGGAAATGCAATCTCATATGTTGCCTAGGCTGGCCTTGAACTGATAATCTTCCTTTCTCAGCCTCCCGAGTAGCTGAAATTATAGGTGTGCACCAGCACATCCAGCTCTACCATTTCCTTTTGACATTAAGAAATGGAAAAACTGAGACAGATTGAATAGAAATGGTGGGGATTACCCTAATATTTAAAAAAAGAAAAAATTTCTTAGGGACAAATATTGTCAATATTTAAAAACATATTATATACTACAAAGTTTTATAAAATATATATTATTATCAGACTAATATTTTTGTGTTGCTTTGTTGTTTGATAATCTCATTAGTAAGGTTATTCCATTTATAACAGAACTGCCCTGGTGTTTTCTTAGGACCAACCCCATTCTAGAATAAAGCAGCAAGATGATTAGTCAAACTGGTAGGTATACAGGTGAATAGATGAAGTGGATGGATGATGAGTAAGTGGCCATTTCTAAAAATGTTTCCTGGCTATTTGTCAATGGCTATAGGTAAATAGATGCTGTTAGTGGACAACGTAGTCCATCATGCTGGTCTTGTCTTAAGCTCAACAGAACCTTCCATGCACACCTCTATACGTACAGGTGCTGCCATGTTCTAGTCATGCTCCAACCTGAGACTTAGTGGGGGTGGCTCTCCAGTGGTGTTTATTGGAGACAGACCATGAGGTGGGCATACAGAGGGGCTCTAGTCATCTCATTACCTCACCAAATGTCTTGTACAGACCACTCCAGGCGTCTCCAGCACGAAGGGCACAACTTAAACCCAATGGCCTTCTAACTCCCACTCTTCCTTGGGTAAATGAGTACCCACAGCAGACAGTACCAGGTAAATGCTTGAAGAAATAACCAGCAACCAAAGATACAAATGAAATTGAAAGGCAACAGCAAACTAAATCTTGAACAAGAATCTAGTGGTCATCTGCAGAACAACTTGGCTCCTCCTGAGTATAATTAACCAATCCAGAACTCTTTTAAAGGAAAACAAAAGAACAAATGTAGAGTGTCAAGTCACCTTTCCGCAGCCTAGGAGTGTCTCTGTGGATTTTCTAAAAGATGTAGAAAGTCACAAAAGAGAAAACAGTGGAAATAGAAAAAGAAACAAGAGAGAAAGTCTAAGAAAATGGGATTGCTTTTTTTTTTGGTGGTGGTACCAGGGATTGAATTTGGGACCTTGCACTTTCGAGGCAGGCCGCAGAAACCACTGAGCTAAATCCTGGCCCTGAGATTGCATTTTTAATATAAGGACTTTATGTAAAATTTAACAGAAAGGGCAGTGGGGCAATCTTTAGTCTTTATCAGATTACTTTTCCTAAATATAAGAACCAATTTGTGTTTCTTTGTGTTGTCTCTGACATCTGATTTCCCCAGCTTATCTACATAGTGTTACATGCTTACCTCAAGCATCTATAAGCTTTCTTACCAGATTCCAGTTTGGCCAAAAAAACCTTGCTGTTAAATTTCAGAGTTCTACAGTAAACTGTGTCACTCCCAAGGTGGACAAAAGACAGGATAATTCAAAGATCAATGGATCAATGCAAGTCATTGGGCACAGACAGAAATAAGGAACCCACTAGGGTCATGCTAAGGTTGTTCTGTTTTCGTTTTTTGTTTTTTGTTTTTTCCTGGTACCTGGGATCAAACTCGGGTCTTTGCACTTGCGCAGCAGGTGGTGAAACCACTGAGCTAAATCCCCGGCCTGGTTGTTCTGTTTTTAACAAGGGATGAATTAGAAGCTTTTGTTGCAGGACCAGAGTGGAAATACCTGACAGCAAACAGCAGGAACAACAAACTTTTCCAGGGAAGACCAACTCAGCCTCACTGTCTCACCCCTTTTGCATTATAAAGGGAAATCTCTCTTTAAGAGGTAGCTTCTAAATACCCCTCTGCTTACAGATGACCCCAGTGACAAATGAACCAGTTGATGAATTAAATTGATGTAGGTTACAAGAACAGAGTTTTTCCCTTCTAGGAAAAGAAAAATAAATGGGATAAAAGAGCCTAGTTTGACATGCATTTTCATACATCTATAGTGGTAAGAAATTCTTGAGATTTGAATGTAAAAACACAACTCTTTGTTGTGACTGCAAATAATCAATAGGACTAAAATCTGTGAGGTGTTTCAAGTAGGCCTGAATTAATATATCTCCAAAACATCCTTTTTTAGCAGACAGAGAATAATCCTGCATCTATGACTGTGTCTTAAATTCTTAATTTACAATAAAAAGAAAATTGCTTTTTTACCCCAATTTCAACTACTACCACTCTCTGAAGGACACTGTTTTAGAAAAAAGAAGAAAATCAAGGAAGAAATGCAAATTTTCTGTCATATTAGTAGATGCTAAAAATTTTATTCTCCTTGAGGAAGTTGGCCACTAGCAGCTGTAAAAAGCCTTCCTCAGCTCTCCTCACTGTTTCAGTCATTAAGTCAGTGCTGCCTCATTGTACTCCAGGCTGACAGGCTGCTGGGAGAATTGCTAAACCATAATTGTCCTTCAGTTCTCCCAGCCTGAAGATAGCTTGGCTCCATCAACCAGGACAGAGCTGAACCTCAACCCTGAGCATCCAGTTCTTTTTACTTTACCAATGTCACATGAGACATGTTGGAGGGCACCAGCAGCTTGTCACTGGATGTAGAACCTTCCAGAGACCAGCCCTTCCTGAAGTGGAAGAAACACACTAGGAGGTCCAACTGCACACATTATTATGACAGTGCAGGGTGGTCAATGCTTCAGTCTCTCCAGCTTATCTGTTTCAGTGTTCTGGTCTCAACCTCATACCCTACCAGGAGCATGATGGGAAGGCAGGTGGCAGGAAGGGAAAGGAATGGAGAGAGAAAGGAGACTCTGATCCTCAGAGACGGGCAATGGGCCTCCTGCCATTCTCCATATAGAGGGCCCTGCCTTTGGTGTTAAGGAAGGTTAGTAAGTTGTGCTCCAAGTCCTGTCAGCTGTATTTTGAGTAACATCTCAGACACATCCATCTTTACTTCTGTTTACTAATTTATCTACTCAAATCATCTCAAATTCACCCAGATCCTTCTGACCAGCCTTCCACTGCACATTCTCTCTCTGCCTTTTCATTCCATTCTCCATACAGCAGTCAAAGAGGTCATTTAGGCTCTGATCATTCCCAACACACACTACTTGCCTTCAAGATTTCTTTTGGCATTTACTGAAAATTAATTCAAATTCCTGAACAAGTTTCAAAAGCCTTCCTATCATTGCGTTCCTCTCCTTGGTTATGACTTTGGATCCATACTATTCTCCTCTGTTTTGGGAATAGTTGCATTTCTTTCCCACCTCAGGACCTTTGCACACACTACCAACATCTCTCTGGAATATGTGCATTCCCACTCCCTGTGGCTAGCTAGTTTGTACACCTCTTCCAGCATTAAGCTTAATTTCCTCATAGTGGCCTGTCTTAACTGCCCATTCATAATTTTGATCCCTTATTAATATTTACTTATAATATCCTGAACTTCAGCTTGTGACTTTAGTCATCTTTCATACGTACTTGGGATAATAATAGTACCTTATTCATTGGATTTAAAATTAAGTGATATACTAATAGATGCCAAAAATTTGGCAAAGGCACTGGGCACATAACATGGGGCTTCTTAGACTTTAATGTGCATAGCATCTACCTACCCCATACTCTTACTAAAGTGCAGATTCCAACTGAGTATGTCTTATGTTGCACCTGATGTTTACAGCAGGGAAATAGCGTGAAATTTTTGATAATATGAGAAAACAAAAAGAGCAGTCCAAATTTGCGATCATAAAACTTAAGTTAATGGGTTTATATAAAGAGGACGGTCAGGGCCTTTGATACATGGGACAAGAACTAGGAGAAAGAAGCCCCAGGCTTGAATGTGCCTGCCTGAGAGAGAACCTGGTACCAGCGAGGACAAGCAGGAATGGGAGAGTCATTTGGACGGCATAACATTTTTAGACATTTTGGGTCTGACACGGAGAAGGAAAGCCAAGTTAAAAAGACCTGAGACTATTAAAAGAGAAAGAAAACTGAACTTAGAAAAAGCTGTAGGATCTTTGGTTCTGTCTAAATGGTACAAGCAAAGGTCAAAGATTATTTATCTGTTACCCTGATTGATCTTTTGGTCAAGAGCCTGTACAATAATAACCTGAGAACCTGTATAATGATAAGCTGGGCTAGAGGATCTCTAAGTTCATTTTTAGTTTTGTGATAGTAATTTCCTGATTAGAGTTAACTTCTGTATCTATGGCTTTTCATCTATGAATTCAACCAATGGAAACATCAGGAAAACAATTGGTATCATACAAAAAATATTCAGGAAAAAGTTAGCCAGGCCTTTCCTAAATTGAATTGCTACCAATCTATGTCTTTTCTTGTCATTTCTCCCTAAATAATACAGGATAAGAAGTATTTACTTAGCAGCAGTATTTACTTAGATATATATTGTTTAGATCTTGTAAGTAACCTAGAAATTATTTAAAATATACAGGAGGATGTGTTTAGGTTATATACAAATGAGACTGGAGAACCTGTGGATTTTGGTATCTATAGGGAATTCTGGATCCAGTTCCTGGAGAATACCAAAGGCCAATGCTGATTGATTTTGTTAAATCAAAT